TATGTACTTGAAACAACCAATTAAATTTTATGAAGTGGAGATAATGCAAACCTGTATTAAAAAGACAACTATGACACATCACTTCTTCTGAAATTGAATACATGTTTTGCAAGAAGTAAAAGAATAACGGGGAGAGTAATCAGTTTTTTTTCTAGTCTAGAAGAATTTATACTCTGAATGAGGTCGATATCATTTATAATACTTCGGCATTGAAAATGGTTCAAATTTCGAATACGTCAAAAAACACCATAGTGCTTCGAAAGTTGATTGTTTAAAAAACTTTTTAATATGTTATGAATAATGACAAGAGAGTTTCAAATAAACCCAACTTTCTCAAATGTGATATACCATTGGATTTACAAATTTAAAAGATTATGATCTATCAAACGGTATACAGGTCCACATTAAAACAAACGTGTGCTTGGGAAAAGCTTAGGTTATTACTAAAATTTTATGTATATTCATATCATAATGTAGGGAAAGGCTATTTATTATTGAAATATTTCATTAATTATTTTGTCTATCCATATAGAGGGTGTTTCACGACGAGGGTTGGTTAGGAATATATAGAGAACAATTCAAAATAAAAACTTGAAATTTTGTGGTAGTGGTTTTACAAAATGGACTTCTCAACTTCCGGTCTCTTTCCGTTATGCCAGAAGTTGAGGCAATTTCCTTATTTCAAATGGAAAACCTTGTATTTTATTACATTTTTGAATTTCTCAGCACATTTTAGGCCCACTTTATATAACAATGCCTATACCCAAACTTGTTAGTTTTCGAGATATTAATTTTTTTCTGAAAAATTTGGCAGTTACGGAACCACTCCGAAAAAATCATAACTCATAGACAGTAACACCTCAAGCATCAAGTCATGAACAGGTCCATCGAATTTTGGAAAATAGTTTACAGGGTGGTCGAAATTTCCACCTGAAACATTAGAATGTCCTATATCTAAAATACACCCCTGGCAAGATATATCCAATTTTGGGAAATATTTGAAATGTAAATCATTCGAAGCAATACCAAACCAAGAAAGCTTTGAAAACAAATGAATTAACAACAAATATGTCAAAGTTTGATGCGATATAATTGACATGTATTTCGTTGTTTTCTATTTGTGTGCAAAATGTCTCGTTTGGAGTATTCTAATGTAGATTTCCTGAATTTAATAATCATTCATGCTGAATGCAATAAGATAATGGACAGAACTTGTCGTATTTTTGCAGAAAAATTTCCAAATCTACACAGGCCCAAAAAAAATATTCTGAGAAAACTTCTGAAAAACTGCCGTGATTTCGGACCACTGGTGAACAATGAGGACATCAAAATTGTAGTTTTGGCCTACTTCAACTACTTCACTATCCAGAAAATTCGTTGAAAGTCGCAGAAAAGTCACTTAGAATTTCATTTTCGTCAATAAACCCGATTTCAATCAAACATAAGTGGCGTCCTTTTAAATATCACCAGGTTCAAAATCTGAAACCTCACGACTTATCTGCACGAGATGAAGCCAAATTTACCAAGAATGGTATGTACAACCGTCATAATAGTCATTTTTGCGCAGCAGAAAATCCAAAGCTTGTTTGCCAGCGCAATTTCCAGGATTCATGGAGTTTTGATATTTTTTGCGCTATAAAAGAAGACTGAATTTTATGATTATATCTTCAAGTTATGGTATCAGATGGATGGAGCCCCTGCACATAGTAGTGATACCGTTGCTGAGTTGTTGAATGGAATGTTCGAAGATCAGTGGCTTTGCTACAATGAGGCATTTAATTTCCTCCTCGCTCTCCAGACCTGACGCCACTGGACTTCTTCATCTGGGGATATAACAAAGAAAATGTGTATGCGAATCCTGTGAGGGATAAAGAAAACATGAGAGCTTTCAATAATTTGATTCCTGACTCCATACAGAAAGCTACAAATAGTGGTATGCAAAAAAGAATATATTCTTGTTTAGAACAAAACGGCAATATCATTGAACATCTGTTGAAATAACCACAATATTATTTGAATTCAAAGAAAGAAAAAGTTTAATTCTAAAATTAAAGTAAAATCTAACCTTAAAAAATATAAACAAAATAAAATTACTGTATTCGATATGAATAAACAAAGATATAATTCATCTCTCTGATAGTATTTTATTTCATTCCATCCATTTTCATATTGAGTTAACTTTTACCAACGACAGAGTTAATTATAGTTCATTCGTTTTCAAAGCTTTCTATGTTTGATATTGCTTCGAATGATTTACATTTCAAATATTTCCCAAAATCGGATATATCTTGCCAGAGGTGTATTATAGATATAGGACATTCTTCATGAATTTGATATCTTTTTTTCGTAGTATCCAAAAATAATAGAATAGTGTATGGTTTCTATTTGAAAATATCGTGTTTCATCAGTTTTCTCGAAGTTATGTTTTAGGTGGAAATTTCGACCACCTTGTAAATTATTCTCGAAGATTCGATGGACCTGTTCATGACTTGATGCTTAAGGTGTGATTCTATGAAATTTTTCAGAAGAAAATAATATCTGGAAATCTAACAAATTTGGGTATAGGTATTGTTATACAAATTGGGCCTAAAAGGTGCTGAGGAATTCAAAAATGTAATAAAATACACGGTGTTATATGTGAAATGAGGAAGGAAAAAGACCTGAAGTTGAAAATATTTCAGTTGAGAAGGCCATTTTGTAAAACCCACTACCACAAAATTTCAAGTTTTTCTTTTGAATCGTTCTCCATATATTCCTAACGAATGCTCGTCGTGAAAGACCCTGTATTATAGCTATCATAGGCCAATTGCTACTTTCGTAGGATTGAATTATCATAACATTAATGTACATAAACACAATTTGTATCATAATTGTTAAGCCTCGTTTCACATAATAAAAGAATATTACGTGTTTGCTGGCTAGATTTTTATAATACACTCAACACTATACGTCTATCGCACACTAAACACTGAGCGTATGTTCGACGACAGAGGAGAAGCCTGCCTTTCGCTAACGTATACTTGAGACAAAGGGAAGCCAGACAGACTGACGCTCTAACGCGTCAGGTAACGAAGCGATTTACCCTCCCATAAGAAGTTATCACTTCAAAAGTTTTTGATTAGGGCCTGAAAACACGAAACGTCATATTGAATTTTTTTAAGGGCGAAACACAAGCATTACAGGAAAATCCTTAAGGAGCTCTCAGAGTGGTGCCTGTGCGAAAATATTGATTCACAATGGATTTCAATCGCTGGAGATCAAATCCATTAATTTGGAAAAACGTTCGAAGGAAGTCTCAATCAGTAGAATTTGAGGTGTACTGAGTTGAACCTCGAAACGATGAGACGCCACATTCCGTCGCGTATTTCTGATATGTGCCGCTCTTGGTAGAATCAAATGTGCCAAGTCACTTGAACACTTCCCGTGAAAGTATCTATAGAAGAGAGACAAATCTCCAACCTTTCTTCAATGTTCCAGACCATCAAGGTTGCAAGTGGTGTTCGCGTCTCCAATCAGGCGAATTCCGTTTTTCTAGATGGAATCCAGCAGCTTCAGAGTATGTTTGGGGGCGGAGCTCCATACATAATAACAATACTCCAAAAGAGGTCTGATGATTTCAGCTCTATAAACCATCAAAAATTGCTGAGATGTGAACAGTTTTCTGATTCGGAACAGTGTTCCAAGCTTTTTAGAAGCAGCCTTTGCAATTCCAGCGACATGATTATGTCAAACATATTGGTGTACATTTTAACCCCCAACAAACTTTTCGAAGTTCATTATTATATCCGGTTGTTAGGAATAGATCCAGAAGACTAGCACATTCTCCATCAAAGTCAGGAATCCTGGTTGGCTCATTTGTAATCTGAGTAAGCTCCAGCTTCGCTACCTTGTTCGTCGTTGATATTTGAAAGTTTGAGCCATTCTATATTGTGGACATTGAAGTCTCCGATTATGGAAAATTCGGCTCTGTGATGATTGATTTGCAATTCAATGGTGTTTGCAAGTGAAGAGAATAATAGTTCCCTATATTGTGTATCACTAGATGATCGATAAACGCAACATCCGAATTTGGTGATAATCTGTGATATTATTTTGAAGCACATAACATCAAAGTTTCGGGGTCCTCTCTTTGATAGGAGAAATCACTTCTGATGAAAAGATATATTCCAAAGTTATATTGAAAATATCATGTAATTGTGTTCTTGATTACCCAAATACATCTTATTCTGTTCCGAAAAATACTGTCCCAGTAGCGACAAATTGAAAAAATTGATTTCAGTTATTTCACTGTCTTCAGAACAGCATAAAATATTCATAATTTCTGCAATGACGAACAGATTATGATGAAATGATACTGCAAAACCTAATCAAAAACTACTGAATCCAGTGGAGTAGTCATAATTTTAATGAAAGTTCGGAAATTGAATTAGTAGAATAATTCAATGGTATATTTTTGAAATCTTATTCCATTATAGTTTTTGTAACTTCGTTAATCCAGGGGTGTAGACATATTTTTAAAAAATGCCTTTTTTCATTTCTGGTGTTTCATTACTATGTACTAAAACCCTTAACTGATGAAAAAAAATAGCTCCTATCGATTGAAAATATTTAATGGGGTCACTTCCAAAGTGGCCGTGTTAGGACCTCGTTAATCCTTAGCTCGCACAAGTTTCGACTTCTGAGGGTTGTCATTCGTAGAGGTGCAACAGCTGGTTACCAAAAAACAGATTTTTCAAACTTCCATTTTGAATGGGTCAAACTATATGTATGATTGGATAATTGGAAATTGATTGTGAATTAGGTCCTGAAAACGAGAAACCCTAAATCGAATCTACCATTCTTAAAAAACACATTGGTCGGTATACAATCAAAGTGTACCTTGTTTTTTTTTGCCCCGATGACGTTCCAGCAATCCCCAGTCGCGAAAGAAACCGGCCCAACTCGTATACCGTTTTCTGTTTGTTTTATGTCGCCTCACAGTTTATTGTGCAGCAGTCAAATCTCAAGTGAGAACTCGTGCTCACGTGATGACTGTAGCTCGTGTTTCGGTGATTTTGATTCATTGCGAGGGATTCCAACGCACACGTACTACAACCACGTGACCGAAAGTACAAAACGCCTGTCAAGTTTCGCGGAAACTTCAGTTTGAACATTTTACCGGTTGCGGTAGTCTAGCGCACCTGACGTATTGTTATTTTCTTCACTATTTACCTTTTGAATCGATCGTTTGATCACGTTGCTCTCGATTTCATCGATATTTATTTTGAGTGAACAGTTGGTTTTTGTGAGTGGACTTTTTTCTCCTAGACTGGTGTTTTGTTTTTTTAAAACACGAAATGAATACCGATAGTGATAACAATAAAAATGAGCTCAGGATCTCTGTGTGAGTACTATTGCAATTTAATTGTTTAAATATTGTTAATTCATTCCCAGAATGAAGAAGAATTTCTAGGAAATTATACTGTTTTCATCGAGGATTCGGCATTTGTAGGAAAAAAAGGTATTCAGGAAAGAAAGATGTAGAACGTTTGAATCAAATCTTCATTACACAGATACCGAACTACAACGAAACAGTTTTCTTCTTCATCAATATTTGCGTATCTTCTTGAATGAACCTATTTCGGTAAATATTCGTTTTGAGGGCACTCGGCGATTTTGAAAAAATGTTTGATTGTACTTACGTATTTTGATGTGTAGATTACGAATCCGAAAGAAAAAAGCGGCGCTCTCCCTCATTTACAAAGTTACGGCCCTTCAAAGTTCAGAAAAGGGCAACTTGTCAGCCTTCTTTTTCACAAGATAAACTATTTAAGAACATAAGCATTTATTCACTAGATCACCTTCACAAATTATATTCTTCCTTCCTTGACACTTTTCACTTAAAAAATCAACATTTTTCCAATAAAAATGTTAAAAAATGTACGGAGCTGCGTTTTGGTTATATATCTATGTATTTAAAGTTTTTAAGGTTAATTGCATAGTTGGTACGACTGATGCAAGCATTCGTTTTCAAATAAGTTTTTTATAAGAAAAATGTTGATTGTTGAGTTCAAAAGTGTCAATTAAGGAGGAATAAGGTGTAAAAGTGAATAAATGCTTGTCTTTTTAAAAAGTTTATCTTGTGAATAAAAGCTGAAAAGTTGCCCTTTTCTGAAATTTGAAGGGCCATAACTTTGTAAATAAGGGAGAGCACCGCTTTTTTCTTTCGGATTCGGAATCTACGCATCAAAATACGTAAGTACACTCAAACATTTTTTCAAAATCGCCGGGTGCCCTCAGAACGAATATTCACCCCTATTTTTTCAGTCTTTTCCACCCTCCTACATGTCATAAAATCTACAGAATTTATGCCTTCTTCGATCCTAAATATTATTTCAGAAAATAAACGCTCAGGGTAAATGTTTCCATTGGTTTCCGGGTTTTACCATGGTCTTCTTTGGTTATAATCTCAAAACGTTTCAACTGCAACTGCGGCAGTCATCTTCAGTGGCGTGGTCGAAGTACTCTTGTTGACAGGTCAACTGAATGGGAACCAATCAAAACTTCGACGCTAGCCGTGAAATGATGAGCAAGACACGATTCTGAAGTCAAGACGCGAGGCGCTCTTCCTTAGTTCACAAATAATGGCCCTTCAAAGATCAAAAGAAGATCATATTTCACTTCTTTTTGCACCAAAAAACGATCGAAATACACATGATTTCATTCGCCACATCACCTTCACACATTGTTCCATCTTGCTTTATTTTTTTTCACACATTTTTTTTTTTTAATGAGAAATATATATTTTTGTCAGTTATTTTCTGGTAGTTTATTGTGCAATTCACAAATTTGAGGTTGAACATTCACGTTTGTATGACTGCTTCGCTCGAATATTACAAATTGGAATGGGATTTGTATCAATTAAATTGTTTTTCGTCGCAAGATTCTGACAAAAAAACATTGATTTGACTAATATTATTACTGCTAATTTATACGCCACTTCATGAGCCAAGTGAGTACTTTTGAATCGTAACATGTTTGAATTACAAATCAAATTGCAAATATGGCTCCTTTTGGGCAACGTGTTTCTGCGGCCAAAACTTTAATCCTCGTCGAATAGAGAATTAAGTTTTCTTTCACCTTAACAAGATTGATAATTTCGCCCAGATTCTTGGTAATGAACAACTAAAATTCTGAAAAAATATTGGTGGAGTCGAAAAATGATTGAATTAATTCAAATTCCATTCAAATTTGTAATATTAGAGCAAAGCACTCTAACCAACTGAAAATTTCAACCTTAAATTTGCACAATACACCTAAACTACCAGAAAACAGTTCTGACAGAAATATGTTTGGAAAAAAGTTTGTGCGGAAAAAATTATCAAACAAAGTATAACAATGTGTTGAATGAAATCATGTGTATCCCGATTGTTTTTTGGTGCAAAAAAGCAATTGGAGTATGATCTTTTTTGATCTTTGGGGGACCATTACTTCGAAATGAAGGGAGAGCGTCGCGTTTTGACATCGGAATCGTACTGCTCATGAATACAAAACATTTTGACAACTTCCGAATATTCACCACACTCAGAAACATTGATTTTATTTTTGAAAATGCTTTCCGATCCGATATTATGTTCACTTCCTTTTCTTGTGCAACTATAGTGAGAAATCAGAAATGAAAAAAATGTTTCAACTTACAAAAATTAGGTAATTTTAATATATTTTCCAAATTGAGTTCATAGTTTTATGAGACAAAAAAAAATCATTTGCATTTCACGAAATTATGGTCGAACCAAAATCACTGCATTCTAATCATTTCAAATAATTTTAGTACAATACAATAATTTTAGTACATTAGTACAATAATGGAAATTTTGCACATTTTTTCTGTAATTTGATAGCGTTTGAACGTAATTTGTACATAGACCTTCCACAAAAAAACTAGTTGGGTAGCTCAATTATGTTCTGACGTTATGCAATATAAAAATCTAATGGTACGAAGTATGGTGATCAAGCAGAACGTACAACCATACTTCAGTGTATAATTCATCATACAAATATTTGTGGATTCTTACTGCATAATGAAAAACCGCCCCGCTCTACTCGAACATCACCGCTTCTCAATATTGTTGAATGTTTTTTGTTATTGCCTGTAAAACATTCAAAAGAGTTGGGTTATATTTTTCCACTAGTGATACGAAATTCAATGTTGAACGGTTCAGTAACATTAGTTTTTGGTGATGTTAAATATGGTCTCCCTGGTATATTTTGACACTCAATAACCAACAGCGGCAGTTGTAGCGTTTCAAATCAACGATATAAACAAAAAAATACAATATCTAAAAATAATAAAGTTTATTAAGAAAATGTCTTTCTTGTCAAGCCTCGAGTCAGGCATTGAATATTGTTTTATGACATACCTCGATTTCATTTTCAATGAAAATGCATTCAAGTCGTACTCTTATGCATCTACTTGTATAACTTTTTGGATGAATTTTTCGGCAAAGAGAACTTAGGTTCAATTCAAAGATCCTTCAATTCCTTTTACGACCATACCCAAACGATTATCAAATTATTGTTAGGTAGATTATTACAAATAATCTGAAGAATTATTTTTTCCCACCTGGTTATTAAAAAAACCAAAGAATGATGAAATAAGTTTTTTCAAATTCTCAAATATACAACTCGACTTCAAGAAGTTTGGACAATAACCACCCCAGTAACTGAAAATAGAGATGATGCCCTAATCGATTCAGTACCTACATAGTACAAAGAATCCGAATGTATGTCGTACACGTAATTTCTACGAAGAAACTAATTGGATGATATACTTGCTTCACAACTGATTCCATATTCTTCGTCAACTATATGCCCAATCAATCATTCAGATGTTCATGGGCCCCACTGCTCACTATAAAACCGCTTTACTCTGTTGGAACATCACCTTTTTTCTGATATACCACTGAATAATTATTGTTACTGTGGTAAAAAACATTTCAAAGTGAGATATGTTTCTCCATTGAGACTATATGGGATATAAAGTGAATGTGGAATTATGCAATTCCGCTACCGAAACGACCATTCTAAAAATGACAACCAGTTTGTACTAATTTTTTTTGAAATTACAGCCTCAGGTGAATACACAAGGTATTTCATAAGGAAATCAATCAAGCTTTTTGTGTCAGCTCACCCCATATAGGTGATGAAGGTGATGAAGGTGAACCTGACCTAATTTTCCATGCATTACTAGCTGAACGTTTTCCTCATAATTGCTATATAGACGCTGAATTCACGCTAATTTTAAGAAAACAGTACTTTATAATGTCAGAATCACCTAGTAAACAACAATTTTGAACCGCTAAATTAAGTAAACTATATGTAATTACTTATTGATTATTATATGTTCAATTTGAAAATATAATCTTTGTAATAGTAAGTTAGGATATCTTCAGATTATTATATTTGTATCATGCCGTTTACCAATTTTTACTGTGAGCAATAATTCTTAGCGCCTTTCCGTGATCTTGATGATTTCTCATGAATGAGTTACAGCCTAGGTGGAGATGAAGTGCAAATTTTCATTTCAACATTTATTTTTTTCCAATGATCCAAGGCAATTTCAAAGTTTTTGTCGCTTTTGAACCTATTTTTGAATGACCTGTTTCATAGTAACTACTTGTTTTTCGATAGTTCTGATAACCATAATATGAAAAGGCTACGGACTATGAAATCTCATATTTTGAGGTGATTGTGGTGGAACTTTGAAAAGTGTTTGCGAAGCAAGCAGTCATATCGACCAAACCCTCAAATTGCCAAGAATCATTGTGTTGTATTCGAATATCCCTTTGTTCATAACAAATTGTATCTTGTACTATCCAAAACTTTATAACTTTTCATCACTACTGGGATAAATTCCTATCAGATATTCACAAGATTCTTACATACCACAGGTTTCATGAAACTGGCAAAATCCGTTTCTCGTTCTTCAGATGCCAAACCTTGATCATGCTTAGAGAAACAAGAAAATTCAATATTAGTCACATTGGACAGTCTTAGCTTCAACAGCTACAATTTTTTACACTATCTACTTCTTCACCTTCATAAAAGAAAATGGGAAACATTCACAAAAAAGACGACAGGAATAAGTTTTAGAAGTAACGTTTCAAAAAAATATGTGGATTATGCATTGAATTTTTTTGAGACACAACTAGAGGAAAAAGCTTTTTCGAAAAAACCACTTTTATACGAACATTGAACTACACTGAAGTCACTTCTATGCATTTAGTTTGTACATCAAACATTCGTTATGGAATTGAAACAGAATTTCACTGTCATCCTCAATGATGTAGGTACTTTATAATTTCGGGACAAAACATATGAATTCAGCACCTCATCAGTACCGTT